TTTATTAAACTCACATAAAAGCTTGAAAAATATATACGAAAAGTTTTAAAAGTGAGTGTTAAAGGAAATTTTGGTTCTTTTCATGTTACTTCAATTTAAAAACGATTTTACTCAATTGACGCCAAACGAAAGGCTCGATTACTGTTTTATAAGTTTGTAAAGAAAAAATTAAAAACACATTACATGATGCCAAACGTTCACGCCGAGAAGAGAAATGGAACGTCATAAGAAATATTCGGGGTGAAGCGAGAGGGGTAGCGCCCTAAAAGCGTATCGTTTGACGATATCTTAATGGATTCCATGATGCCTTAGGCTACACAACGTTATAAAAAGAACTCAATGAAAACAACTGATTAAATTCTCCTTGATAAGAAATATTTTTAAAGTTATGGAGATTGAAATTTAACCAAAAGTTTAGAATGGAAAAATTTAACGCTCGGAGAATCTTCAGGAAATTTCGTCTATTACTTTGTTAGCCCGTGATGTTCTTCTAATCTTTTTGTCGTTACTTAAACGTCCTTGTGTGTGCGTGGTGTTGTAGAACAATTTTCTCATAAAGTTAAGAAACGTGGGTTACTGTTTAGTACATATTTAATACACTGATAAAGTTTATCAGGTAAATTTAATGATCCCACTGATGATTATTCTTTAAAGGTATTTTTCTGTTACATTAATTATTTACCTATATAAAGTACTCACTGACATACTCGTACTGAACTCTAAATGAGAACAGGATTTAAACTCGGTACTTTATGGGTTTGTGTGGGATTCATTTTAACGGCAGTTTCATATCAAACGCCCAAATATTTGACTAAAACGCTTCTATTAAACGGTGAACTTATCTACATCGTGAGCGTTTCCTGTCTTGATTTTCTTATAACTATAAAATATAGGTTTTATTGGCCCTTTTCTACATTGTAACCGTAGTCCGTAATTTAACAATTTAAACAATAAGCATAAAACTAGGAATTGATTATTTTATTGATTAAAACCACCAATTTGATCACATTTTCTATCAACAAGATTTAGTCCCTTCTATTCGTTTATTTATTAATAATATTGCAAACATTTAACCGATAAAATTCAAAGAAGAAAATGTGGCCCAAGCTAGTCGATACATCCAAGCATTTTACAACTTCATCAACATTAAAATCTGAAGTTTACCCAAAATAAGTCACTAAATCATACATCAATAAGATTTTTATCTCATCTAAAGCCACATTTTCTGTTCCGTTCACACATAAGGTTAAGCCTTAAGCGATCTGACCATATTAATGTACGGACAGAGTCACACTGGCTATCGCTGATCTATGCCCTGCGATAAAGACTTTGAAAGGATTGCATCGATCACTGTTAATAGGCAATGTAACAAAACATTGTTCGTCTCGAACAGGATTCATAGTCCTTCCTATCCATGCTCGCAGCTCTAGCTGTAGCGATACGAACTGGTTTGAACAAACAATAGTACACGATATTGTAGGCGCTGCCCGGCGCCAATTTAGCTTATTGTATGAATAATCAACCTACTCATATCGCTAAAACTTTTGTTCCAGCATATCAAATGGAATCAGCTTGTACTATGGGTACTAGATAAACTGATAAACATACTTAAACATACTTTTCTTTTGTAAATAAATACATATTATACATATTATTATACATATTATTATATATTATACTAACATTTTAATTTTTTATACTAGCTGTGCCCGCGGCTTCATTCGCGTGGAATTTAAAATAAAAAAAATCTAAAATAAAAGTAGCCTAAGATACTCCTTATTAGATCAGCTATCTATCAGTGAAAGAAAAAAAAACTTAGAACAAACAAAGGATTTTTCAAATACATTTCAATATTCAGTGCGATAACGTCTGACTTTGTTTCATATATTTATTTATTCGGGAAATCAATATGTACATAAAGAAGTACATGTTGTTTTACTGTAGTAGAAATAAATGATAAATCGTGAGGAAACTTACATAAGCGTGAATGATATTGAAAAGCATATCAAATCCTGTTCAAAACAGTTAAGCAGCGTAACGGAGCTTCCTATGGGTTTTCGTATTATATTTCGTATTCGTATTATATTATTGGACAATTATACATTTTTATTTAAAAACTTTTAGCACAATAAACTACAATGGCGGACTTATCACCCTTGGGTTTTCTCTAACAGTTAACCGACAAATAAACATTTGCATAATTTAATAACTTTTTCTTCGTTTTTACTCGAATACTGTAGGAATAATGTAAACATAGTTAAATATTCGTTTCTTTGTTAACCACTACTACTAGTCGATGTTAATAGAAATTAAATATGTAATATATTACCGATGATGTTATATACAAATACGAGGTAGATGTCACACTAGTGTGTGCACCAATACTGAGGAACTCAAATTATGAAATTTGGTTAAATTAGATTTTTTAAACAATTTTATAGATTGTTATCTCTTTCGGTATCACATGTTCTATAAAATCTGTCACATTCACATACAATTATTTCATATAACGTAAAGCATAACAATTTTTAAACGGCGCGTAGTATGGACATGCATTTACATTAACCAATCACGTAATCTATTTATATTAAACATCATTGGATATTATGCAACACAGGCACGTCAGGGACAGGCTCGTCAGGGAAGTACCACGGTCTTGATGAAAAGCAGCTTCAAGTAAAGGCAATATACATTTGTATTTGGTTTGGTTAGTTAGATAACATAGATAACAGGGACGCACTCTTTAAGTGTATTGTGTGTAGATGTCTATAAGCGATGGTTATCTCATAATATCAGGTGAACCGCCCGCTCATTTGCCAACTTTTCGCAATAAAGAGATACATTTGGTTTTTATTATGACAAAGTTAAAAAAAATAGTACGTTTCCTCGCTATGAATAGTATACTTCACAATGAATATGTATAATATACTTCACAATGAATATGTGAAGTATATTGTATATAATTTTATGATGACTAATAATTATTATCTAACGGTCAATATTGTGGTTTCCAAATCCAGAGAAATAGTGTAATTCTTCCTTGTTAATCGTGAAATAAAAAATGCAAGTTAGATGTGGGTATGCAACTACCGTTACTATAGTTTTTCCTTTTCTAAAAAGTGTTAGCGTTCCTCGTCCCGTCCCCAGATCTTCACACCCAAGAATTCAATTAATCTTAGCGTTCACTCGCTTCACTGCCCGGAGGTTCGTGACTAGTAATTACTTTTTATAACAAAAAGAAAACAAATCTCTTCCACGTCCGATGATCGTTTACAAAAGAAAAAAAAAGAACCTTTCAAAGCATCAAATCCTGCCAACAATAGCTGATATGGACTTCGATACGTAAGGGAGAAATTTATTACTAATGTATTCGTAGATTCCACCTCGATGTTAATTATTTCGAAACCTATTATCTGCGATTGAAATTTATTGAAGTATCGTCTGTAGCAGAAACAATGTTCTATAATATCAATGTTAAATAGTTCATAAGGAAAACCGCCACTGCTTCTACAGTTCACTGGAACAACTGCTTTGATATTTACATATCTTTTATTAAAACAACTCTTTTAGTAAAATAACTCCTCCTCAAATGAATATCTAAATGAAAAACTAAACTCCAATAATATTTACGAGTACATCTATCGCTATGAATAAAGCAACGTTAATTTCATGAAGTCAGGCAACAAACGATAACTCACCGGCATGAAATGCAAACATGATTTACGCCTTCCATCCGTCTTTGGAATTGATGTACATTGCAACGAACAGCCCACAGATATTTCAATATTCCATAAAAGAAGACCATTTATTCGAGAACGCTTCCCTCCATATTCCGCGGGCGCAACAAAGGCTCGCGGGATCAAGGAATGACCTATGAATGCGCCGCGCGGAGGGCAGAAACACAGAGAGAGAAAAAAGTATCCACACGAACACGCAAATGTAATCGAAATAACGTAACTCCGCCGTGGCAAGGCCCCGCAGAATGAGATACGGACATTTGATTAGCCATTGTCGGGCGACGAGCGACTCGCTGCCCAGTCACGTAGGACCCTTTTGATATTTACCACACAAAAAATGCACCACTAACAAGAAATAGTGAAAACACCAGCTCAGGTACAAAGCTTAATGCATTATTCACGGGGCGCGTACGAAACGCAAGAATGCGTTGATTGAAAAAAAAATGTTTCATACGAATAAAACAGATACAACAACATTTTTGCATAAGCACTTACGGAATCGAAAAACGCTTAATAACAGCGTTTCTGCTAACATATTGCTTGATTACAAAGTAACTCTGAGCATTAATCAAAATTATCCTCTAAACTATAATAGAGATAAGAACATACATATACAACAATAACTGATATCTTTTGTACGTTTTAGGATTAACATTTAATTGGTAGGCTTCGTGATTTGTGGGTTAGAGTGTTCAAGACAAGCCATTTGTTTTGCTTGATTGTGATTTAGGGATTTCCAGGGCCGGGCACCCTTTTACTGTGCTTTTGCGTTCTTTTACAATTGAAGGGTGATTATAAGTCACGCATGTATTCTGAAAAGTAGTAAAATTCAAAGGTAACTAATTACAAAAGACGGTGGGCAACACGCGTGCACCCTGAGACACGCGATATGAAGATTTTGTACTGAGCAGTTCAAAATGTATGTACCCAATGAAACAATTTTTTTTAAATAAAAATTGAATCTCGAATTTATCATTTAAAATAAGAATAAGTTTTTCCCTTTGAAGTGAACACAATTTCTATTTTATTATAAATATTCTTTTATTTTCATTCAATAAATTATTATTTTTAACACTTGAAATAAAATTAAATATGTAGAAAATAATATTCAAACTAAATTATTTTTAAATTAATCTATAATTGTAAATTTTACTCAAGTAGTCTTTGCATTAGACGCTTAAAGCTCTCATGCAAAAACTAATGAGGTTCATCGCTGCAGCCGAAAACGGGCAGTGGGCTTTTACGTCCCAATAAATTCAATTATTCGCAACTTTTAAGGTGCGCATAATCCAGCCGTGAAGAGTGGCCAAGTCTTGCGATAAAGCGTGCAGTGGGGAACTGACTGAGCATCGGTGCATCTAAAGGTTGTTTTGTTTGCACGTTTCGGGCCGGGGCAGAGTCGGCTAGGCGGCCCAACTTGGCGTCCGGCGGGCGGGCCGATAGCCGGTAGCCGCGACCGGCCGAGGTTTGCAGTACGGCACGGGCGCACGGACGCGGCGGACGCTTGCCGCCATCTTGCCCCCATCGCGCGAACACGTGACGGAACTTACGCCCTCGGTGCGCGGACTGTGAGCGAACGATTGTGCTAGCCTGCCAGTTGTGGGGTGCGCGGGGGCGCTTTTGGCGGGAGCCCGGGGCGAAAGTGGCCGGCACAGGCGCGAGCGCGCCCCATTTTACATAATAGACACGGCGGCGAGCTTTCGTAATTGTTGCGTGATAACAGTGAGTACAGTTCGATTTGCTTACAATTTGCTTAGCGGCTGTACGCTACAAGTCGGCACCTGACGTGCAAAGATAATCTTAAGCCGAAGGCGGAAATGTTTACATAATATGCATTTAACACTTATTTACCTTTATGTTTGCATTTACTGTGACAGTATTATAATAATGTAACCTAAAACGATTTATTTATTCCTTTAAAAATTCAGGGCTTATGATTATTTTGTGCCACCACAGCCAATAAAGAAAATGTATATTTTGTAAGTGCTACAGAAAAAAATCAGCATTACTGAATCGTTAACGGATTGCATCGAAGTTTTATGATAGCACTAAAAGAGTTAGATTATTTGTATTATTTTTTTCTTTAATAATATAAGCATTGTTAATACATGAATGGTTAGTATCACAACTTTATAGCTTGAATTGCAAGCTATATCCAACCCCTTGATTGAGAAAAAGACATGCATTCCTAGCCTGCCTCCTTCCGGCCCTTTCAATGGGATGAAACGAGAACATTCTTCACCAAGTATTTAATAAAAGAGAAGTTCTCATAGACCGAAATAATTACTGAGTAGTCTATTTGTAAGGGTCCCATCACAACGTCATATCTCATGATCGCAAAGTCCCGCTCTCGTTGAACGCCGCTTGGCCGTTTCTCTGTAATGGCACACCGTGGTGCGAATACAAACATCTTAAAAGGCGATTCTTTTATCGCTAATAGGTCTACCGTGATCTCACGTACGGACGCGACGTCAGGGCACGGCCACTCTGGAGATGGTGGCGGACAGAGGGCGCAATCTTAACGGCACATCTTTGTTCACTTATCACAGCTAAGGCTTTCGGTCTCTAGTTAGTCGCCGGCCCGACACATCCACGTTTATTATCAAGCTCCACCACCTACGATAGCCCGTATTTATCGCTTATACGATGTACCTCAAAACAGTGATTCGTTTCGTGAACTAGCGTCGTAGACAAATATAAACACAAACGTAACGTTTGGGTATCATAAAGTTTTGAAAAGATGTTCTTCAATGTGTTAAAATTTTAAAGATACGTACGTATCTCAGAGTGGTATTCGTTTAAAAAAAACACTTAGATGATACCGCATTGGAGAACGAGATAAACCCTTAGACGCTTAATCTCACTTAAAACCTTCTAATGACGCTTATCATATCTCGAAAATGTATTTGTAGGCATGTCTTATCACGCATTTCTTTAGCCGAAGACATTACTTTTTATTGAACTTCTTTTGATACAAATAATCTACGGAATTAAGGATAAGATTAGCTCAGTTTAAAATGGAAGCTATTAATGTCAATTTTAATTAAAGAACTCATTGAATATTAAAAAAATTAAACTCTTCAAGTCAAATTGTTTTACGCTTAGAAAAAGCATTAAGTTAAAGTAACATTAAAGAGTATTAAAAAAACAACTTAGGCTATTCACATGGCGACCTAAATAAACGAAGTGCCTGCACCTTTAGCAATAACACACATCTTTATTTATATATACCAACATGTTTCGAATATCAATGAAGTTGTTTTTGATCAATCACAGACATCTGGCGGCTTCTGATCAGAAAACATTGTACCGCACATTCTTATTCTCTCTGCGTGTCAATCAATCAAATTCACCTAATATGTTAGTGTAATTTTCGTGGCTTCTTTATTATGTCTTTAACATAATGTTCTTAAAAGTAATAAGCATGAAAAATGTATTTATGTAAACCTACCAATTTACTAGAAACATTTTGAGATTATGAAACCTACCAACCTATCAATTTGAAAGTACGATTAAAAATTTTCTTTACCTCTAACAATGCTTTATTGACGAAGATCTTTTTGTAAATGTCATCTTGCGCATGCGTTTCGCGTTGAAATCTTTTACTTCGAAAACTGATTACTGCCCTTGCGCACGTAATGATATTAGTGTATGAGTGCTTTATTGATAAATCTATTACAATATTCTTTTCAAATTTATTTTTTATAACAATTGATTTATTAAGTAAAATGTTTATAATTTTTGCACTTTAATGTAGTATTTTTACATCAGCCAGTAATCATGTCCATCAAAACTTGTTAGTCCCCTGACACTAACCACTTCGTTATAGAAAAACGGTCTTGAGAGCTAAATTTTTTTAAGCTCCCGTAATAACACACAACTGCGCAATCATAAACCGAAAACACTCTGTTACCTGCGAGTCATTACGCAACATGTAGGACGCTTTATCGAACTACATTTTAACGGTAAATAAAAATTTTATGGCGCTGCGTCCGTGATTTGGCGTAATAAAAAACCGCCGGCTGCGGTCTAAGCCCTGTCGCCCTGGTTTTGGGCGATTACCGTGGCCTCTGGTTGCGGTCAATGTAGTAGCAGACTAATTGTATCGCCAGCGCTTAGATCTAGGTCGAAAGAATGCGTGCCGCGTTATTCATGAGCCACGTTTTGACGGAAAATCGTTAGCGGTGAGTCATTAAAGAAATTCCACGGTGACCGATGATTTGCGCAAGATATTTTATGGTCTGTTAAAATCCAGTCGGAATTGGAGTGGACACCTTGTTTATAAAAGCGGCCGCAACATATGTTCGTACGTTAATTAAACCCAGTAATTGATCACACATCTGATTCTAAACTAACGAACAAAATTAATATTGATTCAAACGGATTGATTGTGAAATATATTCTTACGGAGTTCTCGACACATGATCGTAAATTAAATTCATTTATTTATTATTTATTGCAAACACCTTAACAAGTGATTACGAAGTGCGGACTTAACGCCTATAGGAATTCTCACCTGTATGACATAATACCATGAAAATTAGCGTAATAAACTAAATCGTTTAGAATTAGAGGTATTCAAAAGTAAACTGTTGGTTGTTAACCGACCTGACATAATATTTAGTATTTGATTTATATTCGGTTGTTCTAGTGTTTCATATTTCCTTTTCACTTTAAACAATAATTAAGTATCCAGAGACCTTCTTTGGAAACAAATTTTGGCGAATCATCAATTTAAACTAAAAATAGAAATGAACCCAGGATTGACCCCCCGGAACACCCGTTTGTACTACTGAATCCGAAAAGAAAATGCCATGAATGATTACTTTTTATTCCCTGTCCGTACGATACAAGGAAACAAGAGCAGTTAGTACTTAACTATTTATGCATAATTTTACTATATTGGGTCATTATAAGTGTTTTCTTAAACAGAATCAATGCCGATGATTGATGTTTCTCATCGTAATTTAGTTAATAAAGTAATTGAAGCTGAAAATGCATCATGTTATTTATTTATTAGAATGTATGTTAGTGCATCATTTTCATTACTTACATTCACAAAATACCTTCGCATTTAGATCGATAAAAAACTCGAACTCGTAAATTTTAAAATAAACTCCATTGTTTGATCATCTAATAAAAGTGTTAATACGCGCTCGAGCGGTGCAACGACCTCAGACGTAAATTTTTGAGGAATGTTGCACTACAACACATTCTATTATGTTCATTCATTAAAGGCAAACAAGAAATATGTGAAAAGTTAAATAAAAAAAATCCAAAGTATTGTAGCTATTTGTTTTTTATATTTTTATTTCCTTTTAAAATGATTCCGTGAAAAACAATAATCTTTAATTGTTCCCAGTCAAAGAAGTAAACATTATATACGGTCCGAAAAGAGTTTCTTAATCTAAGATATAATATATACAGTTAATGGGCATTTATGACAATTTAAATCGTTTGAACTCATTTAAATGATTTTGATGATTTGCGACGTCTTTACTACGCTGTCCTATAAACTCACCGAAAGGAAGTAATTTATTTTTGTCAATTTACTAGCGTCTTAATGCTTGAAAATAAGTCAGCCGGTTTCATCAAAGACTTGTTGAAATTAATCAGTTTTATTTTTCCATGAAATATAGTAAATAGTTTATTTATGAATAACATCATTCCACCAATAACTCGGATAAAAGGCTAATAAAATAAGGCTTACCCTACTAAACGATAAGTGTTTTAATGTTGCCATCGATCACCCATATGATAATGTTTGCTTAATCTAACGGCTTGAAGTAAAAATCAATCGATTACCTACATAATTATGTTCCACAGCAGGTATCCGCACAGTCCAACACGCAACCCCACCGCGGACTGGCGGACTTGACAATTTTTTTAATTATTTGGAAAAATAAATGCAGTTTTCCTTACGATGTTTTACTTCACCACTGACCATATGATAATTCAACGATTAAAATTATAATTAAAAGTTTTATCGGTGTTGCCAACGGGATTTGAACTTGTGTAGTTCGGGCGCTTGCATTTAATTCAATGTACTCAACATTTAATTCAATGCGAGCGCCTGAACAATAAGCTAACACGCCTTTAACTTAAGAACTTCTTTTTTTATGAAAATAAATTACATTGTGATTATATTTTCAAAACAATGTGCTGCACAATGCACAGGCAACGGTACAAAATTATCATTCGTCAGATATGAGACTTACGAATGGATATCTGAAATCTACGTCGCCACTGAACCACGCATATGACGCAAAAGGTAATATGTAAGTGGGTGTAAAGGAATTGAGATAGAGAAATCAGATCTTTGTCATGTCAACTATATTCATTTCATACGCTCACTCATGTGATCGTAAACTCGATATTTGGGCACAAATTGCTCAGTTCCGTTCCGTATAAAGTTACCGATACAGAATTATGTAAATGCCTCTTAGTTTGAATTGTACCGATTGTGTTGAAACGATGACACTGTTCTGCACACGTCATGCTATTGTCATCAACATAACCGATGGAGTACTGAATGATACTTTTTTTTATGGGAAAAAAGCAGCAAACGAGCAGGAGGCTCACCTGATGGTAAGTAATCACCGCCGCCCATGGACATCTACAGTCATACTGCAGTCATTTGCAATTTTCCTTATTTTATCATGTGATTCAAGGAGTTTTTTCAACTAAATCGGCAATTACTGTGAAATAGCATAAAAATGTACTATTTATTTAGGGTCAATGATCTCGGAAAGTTAGAATAGAAATGAAGACGCAACGATGTACTAAAAGTTAAATGTGACACTTAAAATGTATCGCTGGCTTTGCCCTTGGGCAGTAAAATTCCGATCGATAACGGGTGACACTCCATAAAGCTTGAATTTTAAACCGTAGATATAATAGTTTGATCAGTACGGTACTTTGCATATGATATATGTGTAGCCACGATAAGCGTCCTGTATATATATTTTTACGAACCGTATCCTTATCCTTTTCCTAAAAAAATAATATTTTAAGTATACTATGAAGCCATGACGCAGTCGGCGTCGGGGTCGTGGGTTCGATACCCACACGGGACAATTATTTGTGTGACATACAAGTTGTTTCGCACCTGAGTGTTTGTCCACGTGAAATTTCTGTTTCTATTAAGTCTAAAAAAAAAACGATATAAAACATCGAATTGGTGATTTTATAAGCCGAAAGCAAAATTTCACAATCGGTTTTTCCCCCCCAAAATCGGCGGGATCACAATAAAGCAGCATGGACAACGCTTGTTGATTACGACTGTCTCTGTATTGATCTAAATGGCAGTGGGAATAATCGACACTTCGCCTCATAGTAACAATTTCAATTTGGAGCGTTATGACTCGTCGTCGACGATAGCATCGAAATGATTTCGTAACCTTAGCCCGGCAGGTGAGTGGTCCGTAACACGCGACGCCAACTCCGGCCCTACGTCACGACCTAACCTTATCACGAGCCGTTGATAGAAATTCTTCCTGTTCCATAAGAACTTTCTTGAACCGCAACGTATCTGAAGTCTCCCCCTCTATTTTAGACGGCTTACATAACGGCTGCAGTTTCTTATGATCTTTGCGCTACGCCTCGTATTGTAGCCTGAACATTTTGTGCTTTGCGACGTTTCGCAATCGCGTTAACAAATCTCATAAGCTATAGTGTTTATAAATCTTAGTATTAATAAATTTGGTAATGCGCATTGCGTGTTTGATAACCCTAAAGAATATATTAATTTTTATTTTAGTTTTAGAATTACAATGTAACAAAATGTATTGTGCTGAATAATGGCTTTGAGCTGACCTTAACCTTCCTGCTTGATATGAAATCTTTACGTAAAATAAATAAATTAAAAAATAACATTTTCTTAAGTTTTACTTACAAATATGAATTATTTTGGTAAAGCATGTTTAAACACGCTTTACCTTTTACGCCATTACACATGAACTAAATGAAAGTATTTTCACAGATTTATCGCGTTTTTTTTTTTTTTTACTTTGTTTACTTAGTTCTCAGCCCCGTGACAACGAACGCTGAAAAGGATTCGAAAAATCGGGAACTAAAATTAAAAATAAACACGAGTAGTTTTAATGAGATTTTCAATAGCTTCAACTTCACCGCTAATATAACCGCTATTATTCCCTCAATTCTATTCACCCCTATAAACCACTAAATCAGCACTGCAGTTTACAAATAACAGTTCCAGGAAGTGAACAATAAAATTAAAGAAAGCAGTCTAACGCAATTATAGTAATAAAATTTTGTAATACCGTTAATTTTTTCTAACAGTTACGAAAAACAAACTAATTTTAACGTTATTAACTTTAAAATTAAGGAATGTTACGTGAGCAGTAAAATCTGTAAGGCGGGCACAAATGTTAAAAACTTAAATGATTTATAGCAGAGTTATAAACATTTGCTACAGCGCTCATAAACAATACAAAGTATGATTTGAACGTAATCGGAAAGTAATTCTTTGCCTTGCGAACTAATGTTTGAAAGAAAAATCAAATACAAACAGTTGTATAATACTAATGCTTTGTGTGATAAAAGACGTGAAGGCTTGAGAGCTTTCTTTTCAAAATCGGTTTTTGCGAATGATACGAGATATACTACTAACCCTCGCATTTAAGAGATCTGCATAATGGGTATATGCAAATATCTTAAATGTTTGAATGCCGGCGTCTTTTGAACTTTTATTTAAAGCCAAACAGTTTAGAATTATATTTGCCTTGCAATTGCTTTATTATTATTAACTATTTTAATTTTTGACTTGTCTGGCTTAACTGTTTTAAGAATGAATTATGTAAAAAAAATTACAGAAAAAAATTAAAAGTAAAAAGTTTACTTTTTTATAAGAGAAGGTAGTAAGCCAGCTGTTGTTTCACTGTTGTTAAATGGCAACCAGCAGCCCATGGACACTTGCAACACCCGTAGTGGTGGCAACCTGGTTATGCATCTGCATAACCACTTTTAATTAACCCAAAAGTGCGTCAGTTTTACATGTGCGTATGTGACTTCCACTTCACGCCGGTATCCTATGAGGAAATACTATAAGTTTGAATATAATAAATACTTGACATATTACTCGTACTGTTAAGACGCTACGATAAGTTTTTTAAATACATCTTAATCACATAGTTGTTGATGTCAGCTGGTGGTCAACAAAGTTAACTTAATTAGCTTCCAACTTAACGTAGCCTAAATTTTTCATCTGCTATTAATATTAAAATTAAACGTCGCAACTGAAAATTAAGTTTTCTGACACCGTAAAACAAACGAAATAATTTTACAATTTTCAATCGACACTCGTTGCGCAATGCTTTAATAATTCCATAACGTCTAAAGAAGCAATAAATTTCATTCGTCTAATAAGGTCCGTCTATTACCAACAAGTAAGCAACGAACGTTTAAACTCTCGAGCAATTCCAACCATTACTGTATTGATGACATTCTCGAGAAAATAGTTCAAACGCGGCGCCGGCGCTGTAATTACGTACATATCCGTGCCGATTGCATTTAATTTATTAACAGGGCTTATCCGATAGCCTTAGGTTCAATTAGCCGCGGCTGCCTCGGATTCGGATGGCCGTAGGCATTGCCTCCAGCTTATATTGACAAGGCACAGCTCACATAACCCTGGTATACGAAACACGTACTGGGATAAGTCATTCGGATGCCCATACACGGCGAGCTAGAAAGGCAGTCGTGCTATCGCAACAATCCGGCAGACATAAAAATCGTGCCGCCAATGGCAAAAAAATAAATTTAATATACATTTCTAATTAATTTGCTGAAAGCAGAAACATTGCGGTTATGATACTGATTAGTAAGTCATTGCTCTATAATTTAATGTTTCACATTGTAACCTTTTAAGGTAACCGATAAAGTATATTACGTTAATTGAAATAATGCACAATTTTACGAGCAGGATAACACTATGATATTGTTATTTTAATATTTTGTACTGCACCATAACACGATCACCTTAATTGGGTACGTTAATTAACTTTAAAATTAGTTAACAGCTTTATTATAATGATCAAAAACGGAGTAAACTTATAAAGTTCCACGTTAAGAAAACGATTAAACTCCATTTTAATACCTTACGCAAAATCAATATCTCTTAATCAACCCGTAGAATTATTTAAATAAGGACACTATAGACCATTCATGCCTAGATTAGATAACACATGTATCCACAAACTTACAACTCGAAACAAGCGGTACGCCTCTCTGATTCAAATATATTTAAAGTTCAGAGCGTTCTCGATCGAAATCCCATCTTGATAGGGGAGTGAGAATAAAACAACGATCCAGTTACATTTGTATGAGCGAATATAATTCCTAGGTAAATAATAGTATTCTTAGAGCCTCGCACTTTAAACATAACAATAGCGATATTACGTATCGTAATGGACATTACAAATCCTATCACAATGCTAATATATTTTAGAATAAAAAAACAATAACTATACAATATTTGTAACTGTTTTCAGTTATATAATACTACATATCACGGGGGAACACAACATAACCTTTGTTTTCTATGTTATATCAAGAATTTCTATTAGGTGTTAAAACTAAAATCGGAGAACATTCGAAATGTACGTAACAAAGCCAACGGTGCCCCGACATTCGTGACTTCCACTCGCGTTCATAGCGAAATATACCTAATAGGGTATGTTCGAAGTAATATGTCACAGGAGTACAGAATCAGATAGGGTATGCCGCGATGGCAATAACGGTCAGCGTCGGGACAAGCGATTTATCGCACTGCACAGATAATAATTGTTTCGTCGATCGTCCGGAGTCGCTCGTGGGCGCTAAGAAAGGAGAGTTCGACTGCGCAGAGCGCTTTCATATTGTATCGAATATTACGATACATTTTGTCTATTACAAAAAGGAGATGTAGATTAATTACACTTTTGAACATATTAATGGAATATATTTTGATTTATAATATAATGGTTAGAAATAATTTTATTAAAGACCAGTGGACCCGATAGACTTTATCCTGTGCATATGACTTAAAACTTAAATCTGACAATTTACAAATATAAAAATTAAAAATATCGTACTCTCGAATCGACTTCCCATACAAAAAAATCGTTAAAATCGGTGCAGCCGTTTAGGATGACTTCAATGACATACACAGGTACAGAAGAATTGTATATATAAAGATAATAACAATAATTCGAGAATTTTTTCGCCATACTAAATATAAATTAATGACAACAATTGTTAAGTCTGTCATACTTTATAAACTTCAGTTTAAATTGCATAGAAACTATGCATATCTTACCGATATACACACATTGAATTTTACTTCTTTTCTCGTGCCTAAGGCGAGGTCGATACAACGATGCAAATATGTATTATGTTGTTTGTGATTGTAGAAGGTTAGGTTTGTAAAACATAAACCCTCGTTGGGAAGATACATCCAGATCCGAAGCAGGCACGCAGGTAATTTCTGTATAAAAATTTCCAAAGAGAAACTTCACTGCTGATGCAATGTTTATACATATACTCGTATATAAAAATTTAGCTTCTGTATATTATTATCCATAAAACTCAAAAACTAGCCGATTGATTGACATGATA